ACAGTGAATTGGAGGCAGGGGTGGGTATAGAGCCATGGTCTTCTGCTTGTTTCTCAGGACACTCTTCAGAGTGCCAACATCAGCATTTTGAGATAGTCAGGCCATAAAGAAGGAGTGATGTCACCCTCCCCTCAACAGGCATCCACTCTAACAGGCACTGAGTATCAACTAAGTCTCCGGCAGCTTGTTACTGCTAAAATCAAAGTAAATAAGACATGGTCCATGTTTTGGGGGTAGATGAGCTTGTTGATAGGGACTTTGCAGGTTGATAGGAAAGACTACATGAAAGACATATAATGACTTTCCCAGCATATAACATATAGTGTATAATCATACAACCTATGAAATTACATTATGCTATTATTATCATTTGATATTACTTATATCAAATGATAAAATAGAGGCTGGGTGCACAAATTCATGCATTGGTATGGTCCTTAGACCTGGCCTGCGATCAGGGGCATCTTCCCCGGCTGCCCAGCCCCACCCTCCACCGCCACCCACCCCAGTTTCCCACTCGCTATCATGTGATCAGAGCCTGATGGCTGGGGGAAAGGACCAAGAAGTTGACCGTTCCCACCTGTTTGCCGGTCCTGCCCCCACTGTAGGTTGCCATCTGTGTGTGGGGTGACTGGTGGGGTGGGGGCCTTGGCCTGGTGCCACCCATGTCCCCCGCCACCCATCCCCAGTTCCCCACTTGCCATTGGGCAATTGGAGCCTGCTGGCTGGGGAAAGGGTTCGAGAGATGGTCAGTGCACCTCATAGTGATGGTCAAGCGGTCATTCTTGTCATTCCGCCCTTAGAGTCAATTTGCATATTACTCTTTTATTATATTGGATATAGAAGACTAAACAACCATTCGACTGTTTGACCAGTAGCTATGACACACACTGACTGCCAGAGGCAGATTCTCAACACACAGGCATGGAAACATGAAACAGAGGGAAGTGGGAAGGAGAGAAGGGGGGCAGAGATTAACCAAAGATCTCATATGCATACTAGAGGCCCAGTGCATGAATTTGTGCATGTGCATTGGTTGAGTCCCTTGGCCTGGCCTGCAGAGATCAGGCCAAAACTGGCCTGGAGCATGCATCCATGTATACTGTATGATATTTTATAAGTTTTATTCAACGTACAATATATAATATAGTGCAACATAATATGTAATACTAGAGGCTGGATGCATGAAATTTGGGCAAGGGCTTTGGCCCTGGCCCCCACCCATTGCTGTCGCAGCCAGGGGGAGGGGCCTCTGCCTTGGCCCCCGCCTGCTGTGGCTTTGTCCAGAAGGAAGTTCATCCAGTCTAATTAGCTTATTACCCTTTATTATTATAGATAATATAGTATAAATAGTGTAACTGACAGTCAATACATTTACTCTAGGTTATAGAAAGTACTTTGGGGGTGTAGCTGGCTGGCAATTGTGAGCATGTCCACTAGGCCCATGGCAAAGCAGAATTGTGAACTTGAGAACTTTCCATTAGCTGTGCACTGTCCCGTCTGCATTAGTTTCCTGTGGCTGCCATAACCAATGACCATAAACTGTGTAGCTTATAATAACAGAAACGTATTCTCTCGGCGTTCTGAAGCCTGGAAGTTTGAAATCAAGGTGTCAGAAGGGTCATGCTATCTCCAACCTCTCCAGGAAGAATCTTGTCTTTCTTAACTTCTGCACTTTCTGGCAATCCTTGGGGTTCCTTGGTCTGTAGAAGCATCCCTCCAATCTCTGTCTTTGTCTTCTTATATGGACACCAGTTATATTTAGGGCCTACCCTAACTCAATGTGACTTCATTTTAACTTGATTTCACCTGCAAAGACCCTATTTCCAAATACAGTCACACTCACAAGCTCTGGGTGGACAGGAGTTTGGAGAGGGGCATTATTCAACCTACACACCGCTTTATTCCTGCCTCCAGCCCCAGTGCTCAGAGCCTGTTTGCACCAAAGTCTGCTTGGGTTTTTCCCTCACACTTTTTAGGTCTGGGATCCCATAGAGCACCACCTCATTCTTCTTGGTTGATGTTTTAAATGGTTGCCACAAGCTCACCCCATTTAACCCATGGATTTAACAAATGGTTCATTCAGGCCCCAGGACTGATGAATTTATGAAGGAGGAAAAGAAAAAGCTGAACAACTCAACAGTGAAAAAAAAGGGGGCCCTTGCTGGGTGGCTCAGTTGATTGGAGCATATTCCCCTACATCAAAACGTGGTGGGATTGATTTCCAGTCAGGTCAGGACACATACCTAGGTTTCAGATTCAATCCTAGTCAGGGGGAGTATAGGAGGCAACCAATAGATGTTTCTTTCTCACATCGATGTTTCTCGAAAAAAAAACAAAAAACAATCCTATCTAATAAAACCCTAATATGCAAATCAACCGAAGGGTGGAATGACTGGTTGCTATGGTGCCCACTGACCACCAGGGGGCAGACACTCAATGCAGGAGCTGCTCCCTGATGGTCAGTGCACTCCCACAGGGGGAGTGCTGCTCAGCCAGAAGCCCTGAGCTGGGCTCATGGCTGGTGTGTGCATTGACCACCAGTGTGTCTACCTCATGGTGGTCAATGGGCATCATAGCAACCAGTCATTCCACCGTTCAGTTGATTTGCATATTAGGGTTTTATTAGATAGGATTGGTTTTTTGAGAGAGAGTGAATTGGTGGTGGTGGGAGCCTCTCCTGCCTAGGGAGGAGCGGGCCTAAGCTGTCAGTTGGACATCCCCTGAGGGCTCCTGGACTGCGAGAGGGTGCAGGCATTGGGTTTTCCCTCACACTTTTTAGGGATTTGAACAGACATTTCTTCAAAGAAGACAAAATGGCCAGCAGGTATATGAATGGCCCTTTCTGTGCCTCAGTGTCCACATTTGTAAAAAGATGATAATATCCCACTTCTCATGAATTAGCAATAGATGTAAAGTCCTTAGAACAATGGCTGGCAATATAGAAATGAGTTATTATTACTATCATTATTATGTAATTTTTGTCCAGCTAATAAGAATTCTAGTATTTTACTAGTTCCTCCTTCATTTATTTATTTATTTTTTTTATCACCCTCTTATCACCAGAGGTAAAACAGAGGCTAGTTAGTGAATGTGTCTTTTGTTGTTTTGTTTTTCAATTCTTCAGTTGTTCCTTACATTGGAACCAGCCCTGGGGAAAGTGCCTCTGTTATGATGTCTTAAAGGACCAAGTACCAGGTACCTGCTGAGTGAGGACTCTGACATCACAAACTCAAGTTAGCTCCAAGCTATTGTTAGCGTAATAGTTGCCTGTCTCCAGTAGCTTTATCTGTAACTTTAGCTCTGCTGGCAAGCACACCAGTGCCCTCCCATCTTTCAGATTTTATATAATGGAGCCCAGGGCATCTCGACTACCCAGTGGTGGGTCTGTTTCCAGCATCGGGGAAAAGTGAGAACTGAATAGGGATGGGGCTCTTGGTGTAGTTAAGAGAGAGGTAAAATAACTGTAATTTCATAGCAATTACCTACAACCAACACTGGCAAAGGCGCCAGTTTTCCATTATAAACCTGAACCTCTGCTGGGAGTGATTTGCAAGACAGAAATAGGCACACAATTAGGCTCTCGGTACGCAAGGCCTCACTCCTCCATACTAAGGCCTCAGCAAAGCAAACCTCAGAAGGGAAATAATGTGTTGAGCTTTGAGAATGCATTGCTTTACTCCCCCCCCCCCCCCCCCCCCCCCCAAAAAAAAATATCTTAGTGAGTCCCTATTTCAATATGTTGGATTATTTGCAGCTTTGCTACCGTAGTTGGTCTGGGGGCCTCCCCTCTCGGGCCTCCTTGTCAGAGGATCCGGGTGCCTGGGTCCCCAGATGAGGCCACGGTATCCAGGGGAGCCAGCAGCAAACCAGGGAGAGTGGGTGACTTCTCCCTCTATGCACCAAGGCTGGGGACAATAAACCACACTGGGGAAATAAATTACATAGAGATCAGTTCTCCAGCCTTTCTGTGTGTGTGTGTGTGTGTGTGTGTGTGTGTGTGTGTGTGTGTGTTTGTATGTGTGTGTGTGTGTGTGTGTGTGCTTGCTGAAATGAATTCTTATAAAATTCATGTCCCTGCAACCCACTCAGAAGTAAAGATAGACTTGCCTTTCAGACATTATAAAAGCAAAAACATAAAACACGCTGTTTTGAGGAGGGTTCCGAGAAGGAGAGATGTGATGAGCAGAGCATGCCAGTACCCAGTAATGCTATCTGCTATTGTCCTATTCCTGTTCCTGTCTATCCCCTGCCCACCCCACAAGGCCATGAGATTCCTCTGAATCCCCTGTATAATTTCCTCCAGTGTCTTGCACATAATCGATAGTCAATATGTATTTGTTCGGTGAAAGGATACTTTAAAATGAATGGTTTATTGACACTGACGGTCCAGTACTAGTCAGAACTAAGTGTATTGATTAAAGCCTTGAGTCTGCTGACTAGTGAGATATAGGGAGATAGGGCTGAGGTCTGAGGTGTTTGTACACATGGCACCCTCATGGAGCAAGGCCCAAAGGGTCAGAGAGGGTTAAGTACAGAGGAACATATTTAGGTCAGGAAGAGTCAAAGAAAAGCATTTCTCATTGTTAGAACTGTCCTCCAAATGGGCTGCTTTGAGAGATAAATTACTGGTTGATTAGTGGGGATAGCCAAGCACAGACTCGATGATTACTTGGGGTGCAACAGTTGGTGGCCCAATATCATTGGTATTAGATGATGTGATATTGAAGTTCTTTTTTCCCCTCAGAATCTAGGGTTCTATGGTTTCAGAAAGCCATGACTACATAATCGCCATACTGGAGACTCAAATTCTGTCTAGCCCTCACCCTATGCCCCGCATTGCCCCGCAGAGACCTAGGAAGACAAGGGCGAATACCTTCAGGGGTTGGGCTGGGGCAGGGTTTAGTCAGTTATCTTCAGACCATTGTTTGGGAGTTAGGATCCTCTGCTCCTTCATGTTGATATGCATGCACAGCTCAAGACTCTGCTCTTTTTCCTAGGCCGGGATCGATGGGGAAAGCATCGGCAACTGTCCCTTCTCTCAGCGCCTCTTTATGATCCTCTGGCTGAAAGGAGTCGTGTTCAATGTCACCACGGTGGACCTGAAAAGGTAAACGGTGCTATGTTAATGAGGAACGTGTTTAGCTGCAGATAGAGAACCTCCCACGAGGGAGGGAGAAGCCTGCCCATGGCTCCCGGCAGCCCCCTCGGCCAGGTCCCTAGTGACAAGAGGCTGCAAAAGCCAGTGTCTCGCTTGGGGCTGAGCGCTTCAATGCCCAGATTAGGAGAGTTCAATGAGCAAGAAAGAAGGAGGGAATGGGTGGAGGATACCCAGCTGAAGATGCCTGGCACAGAGATGGGTATGGCATCTTAAAATCCAGGAGTCAGCCATTCCCATAGTCCTGGGAAACCTAGCAGGGCTTCAGGGACCAGAGTCTGAGTTTCCAGGAAGTTGGGATCCAGCCCATTTCTCCTGCTCCATCCCATCCTTAGGGTTCCTTAGTGAGAGAGCTCTGGGTTACCCACAGGATGGAAAATTATTAGTGTTCCTTTTTTAAATGCTTCACAAAAATACCAGGCATTGTTCACTATCAGGAGCCTCATTATTTTATTTTTTTAAATTACCGTTTATTCGCTGTTATTTTGTATTAACTCACCCTCTTTTCAATCTTTTCTATTTTTTCTCGGCCGCCTATCTTTTTAAGTGTGGCATTGCTGGGAACTCACTCCATGAATGTTTTATCATATGCTTGACTTCCTTCCCTGTGAGCTCAGCATCTTCACTCAGTCACTTTTATGCAGATTGTCCTGTATCTAGAACCTGCTATCTTCTGGTTATGTCACCTGTATTTTCAATGATCACTTCAAACTCGTTATGTAGAGAATTCTCTGTCCATTTCCTTTGAGTTGGGCTCCCCTCCTGAATTCCTTTCTCCCATTTTCTAAGCTGAAGCATTTCCAGTTCCCTTCTCCTGCCACGTTCATTGTCCGTCAGGGACTCTGCCACTGGGCCGTCTCTTACTCCAAGCTCTCTTATTCATTCTCACAGCCCACGCCTGGTTCAGGACCCACTGCTGCCAGCTGCATTGTTTTCTCTTCAAACTGGTCTTCTTTTTCTGGATCCTTCCAAGTGTCTGTCTGTCTGTCTGTTTCTCTCTCTCTTCCCCTCCCCTTTATATTGTATTAAGGTTATTCTCTCTAAAATGATGCTCTGATCACATGGCTCCCTCTGCTCAGGACATCTCTGACACCTCCCAGCACCTGCGGAGTAACTCCTCTGCAGCCTTCCTCTGCCTTTGTCTTTTCCTTGGTTCTTCCCAACATTCTCTCCACGCTTCTCTCTGACTTGCGGTTGCTGTCCGGTTGGACGGCCTTCTGCTGCCCTGTCCTCGCCAGCCTTCAGCACCTGGCAAATGCTCCCTGCCTCCCAGAGGCTGGCCCATCTTCCTGAAAGGACAGGTTGTCCCAGTGCCCCCTAGCAGTGTGGCCCTTCCCCGGGAAACCACCCCTCCTCACTCTCTGCTCTCAAGCACATCTGTCACTCAGCCTCCTCCAAACTTTCCAACATGTGTTATCCCTGTTGCCTAGTGTCCTCATTTGGCATTTCACCTACTGTGGTATCTACAGGCCCAGCAGTTTACAACTAGTGAGCGCTTTTTCATAAAAGTATCCACAGCAGATGCCCTTGTGAAGGCTTGACTTCTTCATTTTATACAAGAAAACTGAGAGGGACACATCTCAATGACTTTCCCAAGTGCCATCTTGAACTGGAGGGCCTGCTCCCAGACCCGCTCTCCCTGGCTCAAATGCCATTGTCTTCACAGCATACCATTCGTCCTCCAAATGAGAACTTAAGTCCCTCAGGAAGAGGCTGGGGTCATGTTTTGTTTTCTTAAATCAGTCAATAGCCGCTGATTTAGACACCAGCTAATATCTGTCAAATAAATGAGCATACATCTGCGGTGAAGTTACTGTCTGTGACAACTAAAGGGAGTAGCTTTCTTCAGTAGAATGGAGGAGGCCTCTGGATTAGCACCCATAAACATGGATTGTGTGTTACCTGGAGCTCAGAATGGCAGAGGGAACCACCCTGCATTCCTCACGTGCTTGTGCTGTTCCTTCACATCTGTTATCACATCTGACCCTGCCAACACCTGTGCGGGAGGACAGCAAATATCATAACTCCTGTTTTACAGATAAGCAAACTTTCTCACTGCCAAAAGAAAGAAAAAGATAAGGAGGAGGAAGGGAGGGGGGAGGGAGGAAGAGAGAAAGGGAGGAAAAAAAATATATATATATGGAACTTTTTAAATGTATGATATAATACACTACAAGAAGTTTAGCAATTTCCAAAACTGATTTATTTTCCTGGCACCAGCATTTATTGGCTGAGTGACCTTGGACAAGATACTTTCATGAGCCTCGGTTTCCTCATCTGCCTTGTTTAGGGTCACTGTGAGGAGTCAGTGAGCAGCCGTGTGAAGCATCTGCTCGCGGTGCTGGGCCTGCTCAGAGCAAGAGCTCTGCACGTGTTGGCTGTTCTTAGCATCTGCCCTGCCTCAGGGAGCTGCAGCTCAGTCAGGGGAAGAAGCTAGTATACTCGGTAACCCGTGAATTAGACCTGGCAATGTGTATGTAGATGCCAAGTATATAATTTCAACCATTAATGCTGAAGAGGACCAGAGAGAGCACCACAGCTGACCAGCATCCACTGGCAACGCCCAGCCAGAGCCTCAGCTGTGGGCGATGCTTCCCAGGATGCCTGACTCCAGAGGCCACCATTCTCTCCAGTTACAGGGGGGAGGGAGGAAAGCAAAAAATAAAATAAAAATAAATAAATAAATAAATAAATAAATAAATAAATAAATATCTCTGAATCTTTAAGCTAGAGAGGTAATTGCTAAAAAATAAAATCGGTATGGATTTCCCCTCCCAGCTGAGAACCCAAGCATTGCAGCTCTAAAAACACACACAAAAACAGGAGGAGGAGGTAAAGAATGTTCTTACATTGTCTGAAATGAGGGACGCGTACAAAGCAAACAAAGGGACTGATTAGATTAATCAGTAAATTAGATTTTAAAAGTACTTGCAGTCTCAGTCGTCTGAGGAGCTCCTAGTGCTGAGTGCAGCTGGGCAGAGTGTGTTTGGGGGGGCGATGTGGGAGCCCCACGGTAATTGAAATTCCTCTCTTTCCCTCCCAGACTGATTAGGCCCGGAATTTGCAGCATTACAGATTCCTCCTCTCCTGCTGTTTACTTCTCTTCAGTTTCCCCATCTGCTGTTTTCCGCTCAGGACTCCTACAAGCGTGGCACCTGAGAGAGCCTGGGGCGAATGTTACTGCCCTCTGAAAGGCTCCATCAATTCCTCTGCTTCCTCCTCTCTTCCCAGTGCTCCCCCTCCCTCGCTGTCCCCCCCCCATCTGCCAGCCCCCTCCCCCTGACTTGGCTCTGTCCCTCTCTTGCATCCCCACAGCTGGTGGGAGCCCAGAAGCCCCGGTGGGCACGAACAGGGCCCTGTCAGACCCAAGCTCACTCCCCTTCCTGTTGAATATACCCTTAGCCACGCAGAGGACACTTCTTAGCGTAAAGGTGCCAGGGTTGCACTCCTTCATGTATGAAGTTGGGAATTCTGGGCAGGGCATTTTTGTTAAGCTAAGCGGTGAAGGAACCTTTGAAAGCAAAGTTCATCCTCTGCCCTGGGTATTGAATGCTTGGCACTAATTACATAGTCACCTGCCATTTACTCTCTGTTTTAAATAGTACTCAGCTCCTTCCTCTTAGCTTGCTCCTCTCCCAGGGACTTCCCGTGCGTGTCACCTCACCCCCCTCAGAACCTTTCTAGCCCCCCCCCCCCTGCACTCCCCGCCCTACAATGTAAGTCTGTCTTGCTGACAGTCATGTTGGAAAGCACCCGAGTGTAATGCATGACAAGCCCCAGGTTTCCCTGAACGTGATTTGCTCTGGTGTCAGCCACCCCTGAATCTTGCTCTCTCCACAGAAAACCAGCCGACCTGCACAACCTCGCCCCCGGCACCCATCCGCCCTTCCTGACCTTCAACGGGGATGTGAAGACGGACGTCAATAAGATCGAGGAGTTCCTGGAGGAGACTCTGACCCCTGAAAAGTAATGAGCTGTTTATCTCCATGGCTAACGGCAGGGAGGGCCATGTGGGAACTGCAAATATCGCAGTGCTAACGTTGAGGGGGCGGATTTCTAAAGGGGCCTGGTTCATTCAGAGCATAGGACCCTCTTTTCAAAGAGACAGGCCAGGGCACCCCTCCTCACCCCCGAAGAGCTGCCAATCTCAAAATTGCTCCAGAAAGTCCAACTCCAAGAGGGGGCGCCCCACCCCTACAAAGTGGGCAGATCATTCCCCCTAAGGATGACTTCAGGGGCACTGGGAACTTAGCACCCTCCACCCCCCTAAAGAAGTCCCCTCTCCAGCTCACTTTGCCTGGAAGACCCCCACATGAGGGCAAAATCTCCCTCATTTCAGAAAGAGAGCTGAAAAGCTAATGAAATGAAAATAAGCCAGGAGAGAGGCAACCCACAACTCAAAGCCACATGAAGGCATGAATAAGAGTTGTAAATCGGACCAGGTCTGGTCTGAGGTTATAATTAGACATGAGAAAACACACTGAGAGCAGCATCTCTTCTGAGAAAGGGCACAGGGAGGGGAGACCAGGGGTTGTAATTTCCTGTCAGGTACGTAAGCTGCTCCCCAAGGAAAAAAGGAGTAACGGGCAGATGGGGTCTAAAAGTAGCTGGAACTGGACTTGTTTGTTATATTGAATTATAATTAGGGATTAAGACAATCACCAAAGTTCTTTTATTTTTTAATAGAAAAATAATATTATGTATAGAGCTCTGACTTTATCCTGAAGGATACATGAAAAATTCTAAGTGAATGTGCTGGAGAGTCAGTTTTCAGGCTTACTTTCCAGGTTGGGAGTAGGGAGATGAGGAGGGCAGAGATTGGAAGAGTTAGAGGTAGAGAAATCAACAGGGAGAACCCTGGCTGCTGTGGCTCCCTTGGTTGGAGCATTGTCCCATACTCCAAAAGGTCAAGGGATCAATTCCCTGTCAGGGCACATGCCCAGATTGCCCAGTCAGGGTGCCTGCAGGCAGGCAACAAATTGATGTTTCTCTCTTTTCCTCAAATCAATTTTTAAAAAAATTGGGTGAGGATTAAAAAAAGAAAAAGAAAAAGAAATCAGTTGGGAGGAGCCAATTGGTGACACCCTGTTGGTGAGGATCCAATCACGTGACCCCAACCAAACAGAGTGAGAAGCTGGGAAAAGCAGAGTAACACATGGATACTTACTGAGCATGAGTGATGTCTGCTACAGGTAAATTATTGTACTTAAAGCCTTTCCTTTAAAAAGTGGTTTTATTGATTTAGAGAGAGAGAAAGGGAGAGGGTGAGAGAAACATCAATTGGCTGTCTCTTGCATGCCCTCTACTAGGGATCGAGCCTGTAACCCAGGCATGTGTCCTCACTGGGAATTAAAAGAGCAACTTCTCAGTGTATGGGACTATGTTCAACCAACTGAGTCACACTGGCCAGGGCTTAAAATCTTTCTAATATTTAGTTTTCACATCTATAGAATGATGACCATAATGCTGATTTTAAGGGACTATTGTAGAAGATAGTGCTACTTATCCTGGTGAATGACATAGCGTAAGAGCTCATTGAATAGCAGCTTGAAGAGTTAGAAAAAGAAGTCAATGCCTCTTTTGTGACTGTAAGGACAGCGGGTGAGCTTAGATCTTAAAACCACAGATCCCAGTGGGTGTCTTTTAATGAATAAGCCAGACTCCGTCCACCTCCAAGGCTCATTTGCTTAAGGAGCAGAGACAGGACAAGGCAAACTCACAATCAAAGGTCGGAAGAGTTGGAAGCCATTAGCCTGCTTCTCAGGGAAGGTTTGGTGAGAAGAGGAAGCAGAGATAATGGAGAAGGGACAGAGGGCAAGTCCACTCACTTTTCAGCTCATTAGAAAAAGGAAAGTCAACACTCAAGCTGTCTGGGGAGCCCCTGAAATCAGTAAAGGTCACTCCACGAGGACAGGAAGACTGACTCTCTTTTACTCGAGGGGAGCCCCAACATCAGGGTCAAGGCCTGGCTGCTGGTAGGCGAGAACGGCATGTTGATTTACTTGCACTGGGGCCCTTTTTCAGAGGTGTGATGGTCAATGTCTGGCCAATGAGAAGCCAGTTGGGACTTTAGGCCAGTGAAAGCTCTTCCATCTACAATCATATATGTATTTTTGCTACTATTTACAAAAGAAAGTGTGTTTTTTTTGGGGGGTGGGGGCAACTGTTTTACTTCCCAGAATGAAGCTAAAGGGCATGTCTAAGATGAATACATTTGAAATAAGATGTCTTAAAAACAGTGGAGAAAAATTTTCATTAGTTAGAGCAGAGGTCTGCAAAGTCTTCTGTGGTGCCAGATGGCGAGTCTGCTTGCCTTTGTGGGCCATAGTCTCGGTCATAACCCCACTCTTATAAAGCGAAAGCAGCCGTAGACAGTCTGTGAATGAATGGCCATGGCCGTGCTCCAATAACATTTATTCATGAACGCTGACATTGAATTTCATGTTATTTTCACACATCACAAGGTAACATCTCTCTTGTTTTAATCGTGTAAACAGATGTTGGGCTGGATTTGGCATGCTGGCTGTAGACTGCCAACCTCTGAGTTAGAGAAACTCGCCATTGCCTTGACTGTCACCAGACATCACAACCTTATTTCACAGATGTTTCTGTGAATGAAACACTAGTCTCTAGCCTTTTGGAGAAAGAGGATGGACTCTGTAGCCCCCCTGTTGCATATTAAAAATATGGTGTGAATATGGAGCTGAAGTAAATATCTTTAATATCCTGCACACAGTAACCTCCTCAAGTCTAGTTACTGAAACCTGTGAGATTCATATTTGAAGGCACACTCCCCAAAGGACAGACTTCACGTTGCTTTTTCAGGAAGGTCTCAATGAGTCCTAGTGCTTAGCAAAAAAACATCACTACAGCGGTCTCCCTGACCACACACAAGTGAACCTTGTGCTCCCTATTGGATTGGGTACCACCCACCCATGTTTGTCTCAGACTGATCATAAAGAAGTGATCAGAGTACTGGATGTGTGAACAAATGATGGGATTAAAAAAACACACTTAACAAACCCAAGCCTAAATAAAAATGCATTTTCTAGGCCCCTTTCTCTTTCCATTTTTACCTTATCAAGCAAAAACAAAGCATTTGGTATCTATTAATAACGTAAGGCAATCAGTTCTAAGAGCATGCCAGATTCTCCGTGAGAAGGCGAAAATAGGAAAGGGTTATCCTAAATTCTCAGGTCTTGGTAGATTACTTGGCATCTTGCAGTAAAAAGCGTGCCCCCAATCAGAGCAGATGAATTTGATAAATTCCCAGTAACACTAAGGAAGACAGGTGTGTGTGTGTGTGTGTGTGTGTGTGTGTGTGTGTGTGTGTGTGTGTAGAACATGTGCAGAGCGCCCCCTCCTGGTGGATGGAGAGAATTCATCTACAGTGTTCAGCCAAGGCACAGAAAGGATTTGGGGGCTTTGAGGGTAAAAGAGCAGAGTCTATCTGAAGTTAAACAGCTACCTATCATGGCCCAAGAGTGGACAGTCCTAGCTAATGGGCCAGAGGAGAAGCAGAAAAAATGAAAGAACAACAAATAATTTTTAAAGGCGTTTTGGTTCAAATTATTTAAAACATTAAATAAAAAAAACCTGTTTTGCTTTTCAAATATAAAGCAACCAAACAGCTCACCATTGGCAATTATTCACCCAGAGATCACAAAGGTTCACAGACTTGATGATAATGACAACCAAGCAACTGTTTTACATCTTCTCACCACAGCCTGGCTAAACACACAGAACACATATGAATATATATATATATATATCAGAATTGTTCATTTTAATGGTGTGAATGGGGTCAAACCCATGGGTTCCCAAACAGGTAAATTTATCTCATTCTGTCTCAAGGACTATTATCTCAATGGTAAACAGTCCTAACCCCAGCGTACCTTTTATATTCTTCTGACTTCAAAATGAAAGGATGTGCAAGGGAGAGGGGCTGGATCCTTGCCAGTCTGTATTTATGCTTAGAAATGACACAATTGAAAACACTCGCCCCAGCTGGTTTGGCTAAGAGGGTAGAGCGTTGGCCTGCAGACTGAAGGATGCCAGGTTTGATTCTGGTCCAGGGCACATGCCTGGGTTGTGGGCTCGATCCCCAAGAGGGGATGTGCAGGAGGCAGCTGATCAATGATTCTCTCATCATTGATGTTTCTATCTCTCTCTCTCCCTATCCCTTCCTCTCTGAAATCAGTAAATATATATAAAAGAAAGAAAGAAAACACTCTAGCTGCTGATGGAGCCCGGTGCTCACCTTCTGGAACACAGATAAGGAGTGTGGGGAGGATGTTTCAGAAGAGGACCATGATACACTTCCTTTCGGGAAGTGGTTTTGAGGCCTCAGTGTCAAGGTGTCTAGCATATCCTCGCTCTCAAAATCCTCTCCAGGATATAATGAGGGGCCTGGCAGTGGGCAGTGATTTTAGTATGCGTTGTTGTACTGTCAGGGACCTCGCCTGATACAGAACCAAGTTTGAGTACATTTTTGATTCAGGCCTTTAATTGGTGCATTGTTGTTGGTGGTCCAGGAATTCGGCACCTCCTGGGCCCTCTGAATGGTGTTCCGGTTCCTGCCTCCAGACTGTCCCTGCAGGCAGCTCACCGGCCACCTCCGTGTCCTCCGTTGGTGAATGAAGGCTGAGATGCCAGCCCTTCCTAAAGGGGGGAGTAACGCCCCAAAGGGTTTGTAGATCCAGCTAGAGACAGGAGTGCTGCTTGGACGGGAACAGATTCTCCCCTAAAGGAGCTCCAGGTTCTCACTGACCCCAGAACCCCACGACTTTCATTGCAGGTACCCCAGACTGGCTGCAAAGCACCGGGAATCCAACACAGCAGGCATCGACATCTTCTCCAAGTTCTCTGCCTACATCAAAAACACCAAGCAGCAGAACAATGCTGGTGAGTGACTCCCTGCCACCAAGACCCCCTGGCTGTGCCATCCCTGCCCAGGGAATCTCATACTCAGGTCAGAGAGGTACAGGAAGCAATGCTTCTTGCTCTTTGTGCCCCCGCCTAGACTCAGGGCAGGGCTTGTCGATCCCGCTTTCTGGCTAATGTGGATGGAAAGACCATGGGCCTTACTGCTGGACTGGGGGGAGGGATGCAGTGTGCGTGCCAAGTCAGCCTTGGTGCACAGGAGGATTCCTTCTCTGCATACTATGGTCCATTTGTTCCAAACCTACAACCCTGCCTGTGCTCTCAGGAAGTCCTGTTGGAACAACAGCTTTCTCTGGTCCCTGGAAGACTTCTCAGGGGGCTGTCAGAGGCCACGGCGGGGAAGGCTGAAGGCAGGGGCGGAAGAGGCGGGGGACCACTTCTCAGAACCAGCTCCTTCTCCAGTGGCCGTGGCTGTGGGGCTCGGGACTTGCCTCTGTTGCGGCTTCTCAGAGGGCCTGGAGCGCCTCACTGAGGCTCAGAACACATCCAGTCCCTCCTTTGGCACTGTCCTTTCAGAATGAACTGATTCAATTGGAATGAATAGAAAAGTCAAATTGAGTGTGTGGGACACCTAGAACGTAAACCCTAGCAAAGGAAAGGAGAAAGGAGGAAAACGTCTGCTTGCCCTCTGAGTGGGAGAATTGATAGGCTGGCGCAGAGCAGGAGGAATTTTCCTATAGGGCTTTGAGAAAGCTTCTTGAAAAAGTTTCCGCTGGATCATAAAGGTTGAAAGGGAGTCAGTTGTCTGGAAACACTGAGTGGATGCTTTGGGGAGGGTGGGAAAACACCAGCGACAGAACCAGGAAAAGCGGTCAGAGCCTGCAGCGCCTGCCGGGGAGACGGGACTTATGGAGGGGCAGGGGCAGCCATTGGAGGTGCAGGAGGAGGCACTAGAAGGAGAGTAGTCTTTTAGGGACCAGAAGAAGAAGGCTGTGGCAAATATTTGAACATACTCAGTGCCCTTGCTTTGTTGCCTTTGGACCCTGTGGTGGGGTGAGGAGTGTCCACCCAGGACCTCTTGAGTGTGGACTTATTTGGAAAAAGGGTCTTTGCAGATGTAATTAGTAAAGTATCTCCAGATGAGATTGAGTGTAGCCCCTAAATCTGATGACTGGTGCCCTTATGAAAAGAGGAGGGGGCACACAGACACAGGGCAGAGGGACATGTGAAGACGGCAGAGATGGGAGGGCAGCAGGCACAAGCTGCGGACCCCTTGGGCCACCAGAGGCTGAAAGAGGCAGAAAGGTTTTCCCTCTCGATCCTGTGGGCCTGCCAACACCTTGATCATGGACTTCGGGGCCTCTAAAATGGAGGGATAGATTCCTGTGATAAGGCAAGCTTGTGGTACTCGGTTGTCATCCTGGGAGACTGAGGCAGCCCTCACACCATCGTGTGAAAGGGCCAAGGTTGCAAGGCAAACGGGAGGGCTGGGGCCTGTCCCTGCCTCCCCTCAACCCCACAGAGCTGGCTCTGGACCCTCGTTTTCAGATCCCACACCCAGCGCCCGCTCCTCTCGGCCACAAACATCTTCCTTCATTATTGTCAGAGCACCCTCAGAAAGTTCAGCTCATCGGAGCCTTCCAGATTCTCCAAGTTATAAACAGTATTTACATATTATCCGTACTTACAGTTCTCCCATCCCCAGAGCCAGAGCTACAGTTTCCACTGAGCATCGAGTATCCATTTCTTATAAACTCCACACTGGCCAACTTGCATTGTTTCCTCTTCTTCTGTTTCGCCCTGTTTTTCTCCTGAGGGTTTTACCCTTGTGACTCCGCTCCCCCTGCTCATTTGCACATTGCCAAGCGCCTGCAGTTCTGCTTTCCCAGAGTCTAGCTCCAGATCCCAGTCCCTGGCGATGTTCTCTTCTGCCTTTTTACAGGACACCACGTGCTCATCCTTCGTTGTAACTATAGCTGACCCACTCCCCTCCCTTCCCTGACCCCTTACCCCCTGGTTGTGGCCAATGGGTCCAAGGTTCTTAGGCTCTGAAGCCAGAGGTCAAGTCTCCTGCAGAGAGCAGTGCCATGGCCCCGCACACAGCCCAGTCCCCCATCCCCTGAGACAGTCCGCACCCCCTCTCTGCTCTGTGGGGCTTTGTAGGAGGTGGGGGGGGGGCAGCCTCTGCAGATCATGCGTTGACATCAGCATTAGACCCAGCCTTCCTGCGACCTCCATCCTGCACCACCCTCCACCTCCCCCTGCCTCTCCAGCTCTGCATCTACCTCTCCACCGTCCTTTCTTCAGATTGTTCTTTTTGTGTTTCCAGCTTTTTTCTCTGAGCAGAGCCCCCCCCCCCCCACTTCCCCTTTCCACCTCCCCCCCCACCTACTGTCCCAGTCTCCTGTGCGCACATTGGGTTGTGGTCCTGGTCCTTTCCTGTCCTCTCACCCAGCACTGTGATGTGGTCTGCGGGGTGGATCACTCTCCATACCCGGGGTGGGCACAGGAAAGCCATTTAAAATACCCATGTTAGCCGAAACCGGTTTGGCTCAATGGATAGAGCGTCGACCTGTGGACTGAAAGGTCCCAGGTTCGATTCCGGTCAAGGGCATGTACCTTGGTTGCGGGCACATCCCCAGTAGGGGGTGTGCAAGAGGCAGCTGATCGATGTTTCTCTCTCATCGATGTTTCTAACTCTCTATTCCTCTCACTTCCTCTCTGTAAAAAATCAATAAAATATATTTTAACAAAATAAAATACCCATGTTGCCGGCTGGCATGGCTCAGTGGTTGAGTGTTGACCTATGAACCAGAAAGTCATGGTTTGATTCCCGGTCAGGGCACATGCCTGGGTTGCGGGCTCGATTCCCCATGTGAGGTGTGCAGGAGGCAGCCGATCTATGATTCTCAGCATTGATGTTACTCTCTCTTTCTCCCTCTCTATTCCTCTCTAAAATTAATAATAAAAATATATTAAAATACCCCTGCTGTTCACAGTTCCTCCAAAGTCCTCAGCTACAGGAACCCAGACCCCACTGGGGGCAGCCACCCATAGCTAGCACACAAGAGAGTCATCCGTTAGAATGTAGGTTCAGCCATTCCTTTATTCATTCAACAAACTCAGGTTGCATGGAGTGGCTACAAGTCTGAGCCCATGTGTAGGGCATTTCCTGTGTACACGGCACTGTGCTGGATTCTAGAGGTGCCAGGACAAATGCAGCAAAGTCTATTGCCTGTGATGAACGATTGAGGGCTGAAACATAGGAACAGGCAATTGCTGGCTGACTTGAATTCCAGGCCTGCCACTCACAGCTGCACAGCTCTGCCTGAGGGACTGGCTCTCTGAGCCTGTTTGGGCATCAGGAAAATAGACAACAATCCCTTCAGTTTCTTCAGCTGCCGCAGAAGGCAATCGATAGCGTATCCAAGGCTTGTAATGCAGACTCATTCATCTTACTGCTTGCAAATCCTTTAGCACCCTACCTGACACATAGTAAATGCTCACTAAATGTTAACTTCATTGTTATCACAAAAATGAGACAAACTTGAATATTGGCGTCGAAAACTATGGGTGGCGGGTGTGGCTCCCCACAAAGTACTTCCAACTCTCCTACCCACGTAGGCTCTTTTGCTTGTTTAACTTTGTTTCCCAGTTTCTTGGACTCCAACGTATATATCAAAGCGACCAGGCAGCCTGGCTCTGGTGGATACACCTCAGTATTGCTGTCTCTGACCTCGAGGTCACGGTTTTGTGTCTGTTGCTGCACTGCCCCGCTCTGTAACTGCCAAAGCCGGCCCCTCGCTGCAAGGTGACGGGGTTCCACCTCCACGCCCTTCTCAAACTTGCTTTTCACTCCATTTAAATGGATTCCTCCTAACAGTCTCCAGACCCCACACTGAGTAGGATGCTGCATGGGCTCACCTTCTTCTCATGTGGGGTCCCCCACTGCCACCCCTGGTTTGGGGGAAACAGGACTTAGTGTGTGCACATGCTGCACGTCCCACGGTTCAGTTCCAGGTGAGGGAACAGTAACAGCAGCTCCCAGGGCCTGCAGGCTCCGCGCTCACAGCCGCCACCACCAGCAGGCAGCAGGGACCTGGTCAGCTACAGTTGGCGCTCCTAGAAGAACACAAACTCCTGATTTGGGGGTTTGAGTCGCAGGCAGGCAAGGAGGAGCTGTTATTTTCGTTTTCTTTGGTCTTTCCCTCTGGGACTCCCCATTGGCAGCAGGCGCCAGGCGACTGGCTTCCAGCGATGTGACTTCTCTCCAAGGTTCCCCTGCAGGCACCCTCCCACCCTCTGGTCCTCACTGTGCCTTCTCCACACCTAAAAACTATGTTTCTTCTCTCCTTTTTTTTTTTTTTTTTAAAAAAACCACACACATATTTTTATTGATTTCAGAGAGGAAGGGAGAAGGAGAAAGAGAAACATCAGTGATGAGAGAGAGTCATTGATTGGCTGCCTGCAACCTGGGTATGTGCCCTTAACCAGAATCGAATCTGGGACCCTTCAGTCCGCAGGGTCTCCATCCACTGAGCCAAACCGGCTAGGGCTCTCCCCATCTTCTCTTGAGGACCCGGGAGACCTCCCTGCAGCCTGAGGGCCATGTCACCATCTTTCCTGCTTCTCTTCGTCATTCCCAAGATTCAGAGCAGCCTGCCTATGCCTGTCACTTTGTATTATGACCGACAGGTCCCCTTGTAGCATTGGCAAAGACGTGCTCCTGTCCCTGAGGGAAGACACTGTGATCTCTTAATTTTTTATTTTATTGCTCCTGGTTTCTCTCTGCTAAAAGGTGCCCCTGCTGATGTTGATGGAACACGCATCTGTCTGTAGCACTGCAGTCTTTCTTCCCCTATCATGTTTTTAGGGTTTGTGTCCACACACACTCACCCCTACTTCCCACCTGCCAGCCTGGGGAACCACCCCCACAGACTGAGGCCCCGCAGCCTGTTCTCTCCTCCCACACCAGTAGTCAAAGTGCTTCCTCCAGCACGTACCCCTCACTCGGAATCAAA